GCTGGAATCCGCTTTTCATGTGGAGAGAGCTGTGAAAGGGTTGGACAGTGTCAATACCATTACTGCTGCGTGGCCATCTGCAGCACCCAGACTCATCATACCTAGTCCTATCACCTTCACACAGCACTGTGTTTAGTGCTGGGAGCAGTGGCCTGTTGGCAGCAACCTGCAACCTCGTTGACATCCCTGAGCTCAGGAATGTCTGTGTTTGAGACGTGGAATTGTTGCTTGTCTTCAATATCTGATGCCTCCAAAACAGAAGCCTCCTTGGTTAAGTGGAAGCGTGTTTCCCGTACCTCCTGGATAGAGTGTCTGTCTCTGGTTTTCACATCTGAATATCCATCAGAAGCAAGAAACTTAAAAAACAAGAATTTTGGTTTAAAAGACAGGTGAATTCTGAGGACAGATGTGACTTCCCTGTCTAAATAACAGCTGTCTCCTGCTTGGCTTTCCCAGTGTGTGTGCCTTTCCTTTAACTCTTTCCTCTGCATTGTTGGGTTCAAGTGGTACAGAGCTAGTGGGAAGGTGAAGAGGGTTTGTACTGGATTTAGGAGGGCAGTCTTCTGATCTTTTCAGGCTTTCTATTCTTCTGTCTGTCAGGATATCCACCATGAGAGTATCTGAATGTCTCTTGAACACCAAGTCTCTTATTGTCTACCTGCACTGGATCTGTCCATCTATCTAACCTTTGCTTCTCTGGGACAAATTATAGGGAGGGATGTTGAGCATGTTTGAAAGGAAGCATGGTGCTTCTGTCATAACTTGGGCACACAATGCATCTGGGATGTCTGTAATAACCCCTCCCCCCTGCCCGGGCATGAGTTAACCTGGGGAGAAAACTGCTTTTGCTCGGTGGTGCCAGGATCTCATGGGCACTGCAGTGCCCATCTCTCCTTCCTGGGGACAAAGAGCTGCTGTCTTACCACTGGCACTAGGGCACCGGTTTGGTCACCTGCTGCTCCAGAGATAGTGTCAAACCCACCACTGAGATCCAGCTTTCCTAGAAAAATTGGCAAGGTTTGTATTCTTGTCCCATCCTTCCATATGTTCTTCCAGTCAAGAAACTGGGGTTCACCTATTTTAAAGACTCCCTTGAGCTCAAGACAAGCCTTCTCAAGACCCAGATGGCCTCCTCTGTTCAATTGGGACTTAAAAATACACCATCATAGGAAGGCTGACTCCTCACTTTGAGTTACTGTGCTATTCCCATCCCTTGCTTCTCAGCAGCAAAATGCTGAATTCCCCAGATTGTCCCAGCACCATGCCTGCATCTTCTCAGTGCAGAATAGAAAGCATATATGCATACACACAAGCCTACCTTGTAAATGAAATCATGTAAACCCAAAATAATATTTAATCTCACTGCTAAAATGATTCAGGCTATGTTCTCTGTTGTGATGGACATTAAGGAAACATTTCCCCCCCATATTTATTTACTTGACTTTTCATACAGGGAGCATTTGTTTCAGTTCTTTGCAGTGTAGCTGACAGTAAATGACAATGAAGAACGAAGTACAATGCTATAACTGCAGTACAGTAGCACCTAGTGACCAGATGGAAGAGACTTACAGTGTGAGCTGCTCAAGCAAAAGTTTAATGAGCAGCATTGTGAGGTAAGAGTAAGATGCAGATTTGGGCAGGTGTATAACTAGGACACACCAACGGTAACTGGATGCCATCTGCCACCCCAGTCACGGAGTTTATCCCCAGGATTGTCCTTCCTGCATTACCAGACTGTTCTCCCACAGATCAGAGCAAAGTGAACAGCCCAGGAGATGAGGGAATACAGAGGGAGGAGTACAGAGAAGCTGTCTGAGTAACCAGGGATAAGGTGAGGAAAGCCAAAGCCCTGATAGAATTAAATCAAGCCACAGATCTCAAGGGCAAAAAAAAAGGCTTTTATAGGTACACTGGTGATAAAAGTAAGACTAGGGAAAATGGAGACCCTCTCTGGAAGGAAAAGGGAGACTTGGTCACATGGGATATGGAGAAGGGTGAGGTACTCAACAAATTTTTGCCTCAGTCTTCACCAGCAAGAGCTCCAGCCACACTGCCCAAGGCACAGAAGGCAAAGGTGGGGACTGGGAGAATGAAGAACCACCCACTGTAGGAAAGATCGGGATCGAGGCCATCTAAGGAACCTGAAGGTTCACAAGTCCCTGAGACCTGATGAGATGCATCCGCAGGTCCTGAGGGAACTGGCAAATGAAGTAGCTAAGCCACTGTCCATCATAGTTGAGAAGTCGGGGCAGTCCGGCAAAGTTCCCGCTGACTGGAAAAGGGGAAACATAACCCCCATGTAAATAAAGGCACATAAGGAAGATCTGGGAAACTACAGGCCAGTCAGACTCATGCCCAGCAAGATCATGGAGTGGATCCCCCTGGATACTATGCTGGGGCACATGGAAAATGAGGAGGTGATTGGTGACAGCCAACATGACTTCACTAAGGGCAAATCGTGCCTGACAAATCTGGTGGCCTGCCACAATGGGCTTACAATGGTGGTGGATAAGAGAAGAGCAACTGTTGTCATCTACCTGGATTTGCGCAAAGCTTTTGACACTGTCCGTTGTAGGAGGGACCTTGTATGGAGGCGAGACCAGAGTTAAAACCTCACCCCAACGTGATGAGTCAGTCTTTCTTATTTACCCGAATAGCCCCAAGATATACAGAGCCAGACAGTCGCGCGCTCTCTGCTTTACAATCTATTGGCTAAAGGCACTTATCACACACGCAGAAGTGCTGTGATAGGTCTGCATCGTTAGTACACGTGTACAAACTAAATCTACTTTGTGGTTAGTGTATCTGGGCATTCAAGCAGGAAGGAAGCCCTAACTTGACTTGCTCATTCTTGCCCTTCCAGGTGATCTCAAGGGCAGGATTACCACGGGGCAGTTTTCTGCCCAGAGACCCAGCCTGGATTGTCCAAACTCTGTAGGATCAGTGCATGACCCTGATCCCCAAAAAATCCTACCACAAACCCCCATGACATCCTTGTCTCCAAATTGGAGAGACATGGATTTGGCAGATGGACCTCCCAGTGGATAAGGAATTGGCTGGCTGCTCCCACTCAAAGAGTTGCGGTCAGTGGCTCGATGTCCAGGTGGAGAGCAGTGACAAGTGCTGTTCCTCAGGGGTCGGTGATGGGCCCAGTGCTGTTTAACATCCTTGTTGGTGACATGGACAGTGGGATCAAGTGACCTTCAGCAAGTTCACCCACAGCACTGAGCTGTGTGATGTGGTGACACACAGGAGGGCAGGGATGGCATCCAGAGGGACCTGGGCAGGCTGGAGAGGTGGGGCTGTGCAAACCTCATGAGGTTCACCAAGGCCAAGTGCAAGGTCCTGCCCATGGGTCGGGGCAGTCCCCAGCACAAACCCAGGCTGGGCAAGGGGTGGCTGGAGAGCAGCCCCAAGGAGAGGGACTTGGACTTGGGGGTGTTAGTGGATGGGTGGATGGATGGATGGATGGATGGATGGATGGATGGATGGATGGATGGATGGATGGATGGATGGGGATGGATGGATGGATGGATGGATGGATGGATGGATGGATGGATGGATGGATGGATGGATGGGGATGGATGGATGGGGATGGATGGATGGATGGATGGATGGATATGGATGGATGGATGGATGAATATGGATGGATGGATGGATGGATGGATGGATGGATGGATGGATGGATGGATGCCTGGATGGATGGATGGGGATGGATGGATGGATGGATGGATGGATGGATGGATGGATGGATGGATGGATGCCTGGATGGATGGATGGATGGGGATGGATGGATGGATGGATGGATGGATGGATGGATGGATGGATGGATGGATGGATGGATGGATGGATGGATGGAAAACTGACTGTGAGCCAGCCCAGAAAGCCAACTGTGCCCTGGGCTACATTGAGAGCAGTGTGGGCAGCAGGGCGAGGGAGGGGATTCTCCCCCTCTATTCTGCTTTCATGAGACCCCACCTCCAGTACTGCATCCAGATCTGGGGCCTTCCTTATAAGGGCAATGACCTGCTCGAGTGGGTCCAGAGGAGGCCACAAAGATGATCAGGGGACTAGAGTACCTCTCCTATGAAGACAGGCTAAGAGAGTTGGGTTTGTTCAGCCTGGGGAAGAGAAGGCTCCGGGGGGACCTTCGAGCAGCCTCCCAGGGCTTAAAGGGGGGACAGGAAAGCTGGGGAGGGATTCTTTATCAGGGGCTGTAGGGATAAGACAAGGGCTAACAGTTTTAAACCAAAAGAAGGCAGATTTAGATGAGATCTAAGGCAGAAATTCTTCCCTCTGTGGGGGGGGAGGCGCTGGCCCAGGGTGCCCAGAGCAGCTGTGGCTGCCCCCTCCCTGGAAGGGTTCAAGGCCAGGTTGGACGGGGCTGGGAGCCCCCTGGGCTGGGGGAAGGGGGCCCTGCCCGGGGCAGGGGGGTGGGCACTAGATGACCTTTAAGGTCCCTTCCAACCCAAACCATTCTGTGATTTTACGATTTATGATCAGGCACAGTGGGTTACAGAATCACCCCTGCACAGGACAGTAAGCTCCTGGCATGTCCGAGAAATGAAGATACAGCCATGAGCAGCAAGAGGGTTCCTTGATGGATTATTTCATGACAAAGAAACAAGGGAAGGAAGGTCAAAGAACACTTTCCCACAAAGAGACTCACCCAGCCCTGTGCCACCGAGTCAAGGAGCCCCAGCATTTTGCATGTTGTCCTCCCCACCTAGCTCATTGCCAGTTCATCCTTTCAGTCCATGTGCAACACAGAGGGACATGGGAACCACTTCCACATCTTCCTTCCCTCTGCCTCTTTATATAGGGTGCTTTCTCACATATGCCTTGTGCCTTTGCTAGGACTTCATGAAGAAAACCTGTGTGTCAATCAGAGTCATTGTGCCTCTACAGCATCAGGGTTACGGTGTGGGACATTTGGCAGGAAGACAGCACTCTGCTCTTTGTGACCTGAGGACGTTTTCCCTTTTTTCTCTGCCTGGCAGGTCTTCATGAGGGACAGCTCTGGAGTCTAGAGGGACACAAGGCACACAGGATGCTGAATCTGGCCTAGTCCCAAGCCCAGCAAGCTGTGAGAGGTACAGTATGGCCCAGGGATGACTTTGGGACTCTGCAGAAAGAGCCAAGGGGGGGACGGGACGGCCAGACACAGCTGTGTGCTTGTGATACGAGGGGCAGGAGAGCAGGAGGGAGAAGGATGCTGGGGAAGGGGAGCTGGAGAGGGTGTTTCAATGACAACCCTCCCTCCGTCTAGTAGTGAATCCTGCAACACGCCCATCACTAAAATAAAGTTATGAAATCTAATACCAATTGCTATAGTAACATCACGCCTCCGCACTGACCTAGTTTGAGACAAAGGAAGTGCTCCTGCAGCTCTGAGTACACAGGAGGCTGCAGACAAGTCTCAGTCTGTTCTCCGGAAAGAATGGCAGAGGGAGCTGCTCGTTTTTCCCCACCTGCTTCCCCCTGCCCCAGGACCCTTAGGCAACATGAGCTGGTTTTGTCTCAGGCATTGAACAAATCCACTGCCAGACAGCATATCCATCCTGCATCCCAAACACAGGCAGGGCCCCGTCTAGCTTCATCTGGACCCACCTATCTTCATCCGGATGATCAGGCAACAGGAACATCTGCCCTGGAGCAAAGCAGCATCCTTGCAAACCTACAGAGACCTGGTGGTGCAGCAGCAACAGCTGTCTCCATTCAGAGCACCCTGCTACTACTGTGCCACAAACACCTAGGGCAGGGAGACTGTCCCTGGCCTCCCAGCTCTCCCCACATTCTCCTCATCTGCTTAGTCCTCAGTACCCCGAGCCCTGGGGCTGCTGCTTGTTCTGGTAGAACAGTGAGACAGGAGGATCCGGCTGGTGTTTTGGGACAGGGTGGTAGCACAGAAATCCAAGCAGGGCGGCCTGCCTTCTTCTGTGTCACAAATTTTCAGTGCAAGTGTGGACAGTCTCCATGCCTGGGAGTCACAAGATAAGCAAGGTCGAGGGCAGCCGTGTTAAGTGTTTTTCGTTCTCTGCTTGATCCATGGAGGGCTTTGCAAACACACACACACGCACTCCTCCAGGACTGCTGAACAGCACTGACCAGAACAATCAGTTTTGGTCCCAAACGGTCCCATTAGCTGCTCTTCCAGACAAGCTGGAACATGCACCATGTGGTCATCAGCATGTGTCCTGAGTGCCCTGTAAGGGAGCAGAGACTGCAGGTAGGTTTCAGAAGACAGTGACCCTTGCTCACTGCCCTGGTCCTTCCACTGCATCTCATCAGCTCTCCTGCTTTCTTCCTGAAAACTCTCCCTTTCTTATCTTGCCTTCATTTGTCTCATTTGACCTACTTAATACTTTGCATTTCCTTCTTCAGAGCATATCCCATCTTCTGGAGAAGTTTGAGAAACTTCTATTTAGGGACAGACAAATAGGTTGTAAAGTTTCTGGGGTTTTGTTCCCTTGAGAGTTGATTATATTACCAGTGACATTTGCATGAAATAAGGTCTCTGCCTCTCTCAGAGTTCATCTGCTCCTCCAGCTTAGCCAACACCTGAAGTCAAAAATCTTTGTCATATTGCAGCCATTGATTTTCACATCACTTGGTTGTGCTGCTACCAAAAAAAAAAAAAAAAAAAAAAAAAAGTAGTATCTAGAGCATATAGGGAAGACAAATTATTTGTCTGTTTTGAGATGGCTCCAGTCAGACCCCATCCCTCCTTATCGTCCCAGTGGGCATCAGCTGGCAGTCCCAGCAGAGATATCCCTTTGCCTGAAGAACAGGCAGAGGACCACAGGCATACACCGAGGCTGCCAGGGCTGCAGGGCACGATTCAGCTACCATGAGGCCTCGGGAGCTGTATGCAGATTCTACATTTAAAAAGGCACAAACCACTTATTCACATATGAAGTGAGATGAAGTCTTTCCACTGGTGACATGGGTCTCAGTAGAGCTGAGAAATCAGTGCTGCACGATTTCTTGAGCTCATACACCAATGTAGCCTACACTGGGATTTGCTTCATCTGGTATTAGCCGCCTGGAAGTTGGATTTGTAGATGGGCTGGGTGAGCCCCTTGGGACACTTTCAGGCAACGGGCAGACCAGTCCTCATAAAGCAATTTACCATCTCCAAAGGATAAGGCACACGGGCGATGTGTATCTGGGTAGGTCCCAGGTGAATGAGACACGACTCGCTGGAAGCTACTGTCTCTTCTCCACTGCTGTACAGAGAGTGAAGGGGAAATGGCAGGTGCGCCGTGGCTCTCCTCGTGATGCTGTCACACATCTCAGTGGGAAAGTCCAGGTGACATTGGTCCTTGGCTTAAGCCCATGGGTGCTCCTCGGGAGATCCTGGCTTAAGCTCTTCTCAGCAGGGCTCAGCGTGTTCTCAGGACAGGCAGTGTGGCTTGCTGCTCAGACCTCGGTACCCGCTCTGCCCCTGGGACAAAGCTCCCCGGCAGCAGTGGGAAACTTCCCAGGGAGAAGTGAGTGGCAGAAGGAGGCTGGAAGAAGGTCTGTTGTATAATGAATTGTTCTAAGTAGAAGCTGGCTATTTTTATCCCCTGCGATTAGATTCTGAACTCTTTGAATCATCATTAATGCAACACCCTGGAAGTCGGCGCCCCCCCTCGCTGAATGCCACATGAAGTGTTCCTGCTAATTCAGGGAACATTTGAATTCATGCGTGTAGGCAGACCGACGTCACCTACACCACAGTATACAATTTTTTAAGCTTCTTGCGGCAGGGTGAGGGGAGTAATTTTTCTTCTGCAGGTTGCGAATCATTTAGTCTTTATCTAGCTAGTTATTAGCGTGCTGCTAGGTTTCTATATATAAAAGCCACCCATGTGTTTGTAGCCAGCCTGGATGGCTGGGCTGAGGTTTACGTGGGAGATTATGATACGTAGAGTCCTGGAAGAGCTGATCAGCAGAGGGCAGGACTGGTTGACTCCAGAGGGTTTCTGCAGCCCTGTCAGGACAGAGGTTTCTTCACTCTGGAGGACTTGTGCCCCAAGCAGTCCCATTTTACAGGCTGCTGCTTCTCCTGGTGCTTTTACCTCTCTTCTGAGCAGCAGCTGAATGGCTTCTTGGCCCTTCATGGCCAGCCCTGCCTCAGTAGTATGTGTCCTTCCCCAACCAGTCCTGTTCAGGCAAACCCTGATTTAAAGGTTATGATCTCAAACAATGCCGTCCAACCCAAACAAGTCTGTGATTGTTATATAAATGCCAGCCAAGAAGCCTGGCAAGAGGGTCTTTGACTTCTTGCAGGCACCACCTGGACCAAAGTCTGGCTGTATATCTGGTGCCTGGCATTTTACACAACATGGAGTGATTTTGTGGTACATTATGTTCTTTACATGGGGCATGACAGATGTTGGGATGAGAGAGCCAAGCTCTCCTGGGAGGTGGTACGTTCCTCCCTCTATTCAGCAAGGATGCAGGCCCCTGGGCTGGCATGCAGTGTGGGGGCAGCAGTTTTGGTGTTTCCACAGGGAACAAACTTAGAAGTTGTTGGAAAGCCCTGCTGGTGGGAATAGCAGGAAATCTATGGCTAAGCTGTGAGGGGGAGGCAGATAGGAGAGGGAAGCAAGGGAAGACGGGAATGCTGCTTTCAGCTGTGATTTTGGGGAGAAAGAAGAGGTCTTCAAGTGCCCATTTCTGGATCAAAGCACTGCTCAGTTCCCAGAGGGTGACCAGGGAGAGGACATGGACTTATTGCATGGAAGATGTGTCCTGAGGGCGTGGTAAAAAGGAGGGAGGCAGCACAGAGCCTGCACCCACTGCTGGCCATGGAAGGTGAAATGCAGCCACCAGGCCAGCGCCTGCAGCTCCCCAGTTTCTGCTGGAGCAGAAGCACCCACCTGCAAACTGCAGTCCCTCATGCTGTGAAAGCTGCAGAGGTAGGTCTGACCTCCCTCTTGGCCACTTCCAGCATCTGGCAGGGCAAGCCTGGTCCCTGTACCTGGGTCTCCACCGTACACATCACTGGCAACAGCACACGAACACGCACACGTGCCCGCGTGCACACACACACACACAGACACACACACACTCCATGGCCACACAAACGGGTGTTTGCCTGCATGCTCCAGTCCCAACGTGCATGCACAAGGAACAGAAACCCAGGTGAACGTGGGGGTGCTCTCAGAGGTCACTGTGGCCTCTCGGGCTTGGTGGGAAGGAGCAAGCCCTGCCTGGTGACCCCCAGCACCAGCTGCCTCTGCTGCGCATTGGACTTGTAAACACCAGCTAATTGCAAAGTGAGATCCTGGAAATGGACTAAAGCAGAAAGTAGTAAGGTGAGGCATAGCTGGCAGGGTAAAGTACTGGATTTCCTCCTCTTGACCCCTCTTTGCTGAGAGAGGGCAGAGGGTTTGCCCTGTTCTCTGCCCTGACTTCTCCATGCCCTGAGTATAAGCTGTTTTAAGGTGGGTTTGCAGAATTTAAGTTGGGAATTTGGCCCGCAGGAACCTAGAGACATCAGAAAAAGGGTAGTTTCTCCTGGAAACCCTCCTCCACCCCAGAAGTTAAAATGGAGGCAATGGTGGGCAGTGAAAGCTGGTTTGCCCAAGTCCTTTGTGGTGCAGAGCCCCAGCACAGAAGCTGCTCAAAGCCAGTGGTTCCTAACAGGGCTGGGGTGCAGGAGGTGGTCTGCCCTCTCACAAGCACAGGGACCTCCCAGGCTCTGTTGGTTTTGTTGTTTGTCTTGGGGCTTGAGCCTGTTCAGAACAGGCAAGGAGCAGCCCCTGTGGAGCAGTGGTCCTCTGGCTGCTGTCCTCACCATGTCACAGCTACAGGGCAGGAATTCCTGTGGGGAGATGGGGACAGACCCGTGGCCAGTGTCTCCTGGGCAGCCGTCCTCTCAAGGTCACAGTGCATTGCCTGGTGGAGCACCTCCAAGGGGACACGGAGCCAGTCTCCAAGGGTGGAAAGGAGATCTGTTCACCATGTGCAAGGTGGAGAGGACAAAACATCACAGGCTGGAGCTGCCACCAGAGGGATCCCGGATGAACAATAGAGATTTCAGAGCTTTATAGGATTGCAAAGACAGACAGGCATCTCCAGGACAGCTCATTGAACTTAT